AAAAAAATTACTTGGTATTTAAAAAAATACAAAAAACTATTTTCTGGTAAAATAATGTAATAATGCATGCATAGGCTGTAATTGCAAAGTTATTGCAATTATAACCCCAAAAATGCAAATATGGCTATTTGTGAAATAATTAAAATTTAGTACAAATGCAAATGATAAAATTAAGCCACAAAATTATTATAAAACTATTTGTGATGCAATTAATAATAAAAAACTGTAATAAATTAATTAAAACCCTTAAAAATGCAGAAATTATGAAAAATATTAATTGATGTTAATGCATAGTTTTGGAGGTATATATGCATTTTCAAAAATAATTATAGGAAAAAATTGGGTATCAACAGATATAATACAATGAAACGAGGAAGCACACAACTTTCATAAATGATTCTATTCTTAGAAGCACTAGGGGTGCCTATGTTCTTGATTCCCCATATGTCATACTATCATATCGTCTGTTCATGGTCTCATGACATTCCAAGAGATCGTATTGACTTACTTCATTATGCATTGGATTCATTTATACATATGCATTTACTCATGACCAAATGGCGTTATATATGCGTATATTATACGTATATGGGGTATTGGAAAAGGTTACGACATTATATATGCACCACCACCTGATCAGCTGGTATATGTTGATGATTTTGCCCACAATGGCTGAAATGATATGATGGGATGCCCTTAGAGGCTTGATGATGATATGTACGTATAGACCTATGCATTATATGACATTCATACGCATATGCATGACATTATAAATATTTCATGATTTATAGAGCTATCCAGACATACAGGTTGAGTCCTTTACTCCATATTTCTTCTATGTCCTTTATATACTTATTTACATATCTTACATACTCGGTACATTATTCGTACTGACGTCCTTTTGTTGGGACGATGCATTCATTCCTGCAGGTATAGATAATCAGTTTGACAAGCCCTCATAGTAGAAGAGGTTAACATTCAGTGAAAGATTGGTAAAATTCTACCTTATTTGGAATGCAGCTGAGTCTATAAGTCATCGTGTCAGAGTTTTACTACAGACTTACGGTTAGGCCGGTACCCTGTCCCATTTGATGTCAAATAATCTTAGAGGCTTTGTAGACACACAGGTTCATTTTGTACACCATGTCAAAGGCCTTGACGACCCATATGTATTCATATTTTAAGAAAAATGGTTCATTGATACAATGTTTTCCCACTTATAATTATACATTATGAGTTATGGCCATGTTGGCCCATGATAATTATACAAGAAGAAAAGAGAGTTATAGAGTGGTTCACTTGGGCCAGTACGGCACCGGGTGCCAGCCACGGCTCCCCAGGTTTGGGGCGTGACGATATATGTAGGTTTGCACATGTGGAGAGACAAGGTAGGAATGTTATTATGCGCATGTGGCGAGACAAGGTGGGCATTTACTTTATTGTTGCGCACGTGGCGAGACAAGGAGGGCTATACCGGGGATGATTTGTGATGATTTGTGATGGCCTGGGAGCATTATTGTTGATACTATTTGTGTAGTGGTGTGACTACCTTGTGTGAGTCATGCATTTTATGTTTTATTGTGTTGTTTCCTATGTGTCATTCATTGTCTCTGCTCTTACTTGTTGACTCGAGTTGTGATAGAACACTTGCACAAGCATACAAGTAATTATTCACTCTTCGGTTTAAGAAAATGAACCCTGATATTTATTGATCATTTACATGTATTCTCGTATACTTGCATTCTGTATGAGATATTTTTGCTATTACCACGTGAGTTGTCTGTGCGGTTATGAGGTATTGTTATTTCTAGCACGTGAGTTGTCCCTACGGATATGAGATATTGTCACTCTCTTAGCACGTGAGTTGTCCGTGCAGATATAAGGTACTAATGGTATTACCACGTGAGTTGTCCGTATAGCACGCGAGTTGTCTGTGCGGTTATGAATTTTAATATGGGTAGAAGATGACAAGTGAGTAGGGCTCGTGACTTATGACCTGCGAATTGTGGTTATGAAGTGTGGTACCTCGAGAAAAATTCTTGTATAAATCTTGTGTGAAAGCAGTTGTTTATTTGGTTGTTACCTATTTTTTTCCTTACTTGGTTTCACCAGACTTTAATCGTATTCAGCTTATTCTACGACATTATTATATGTTTGTTCCTTGTTGCTAATTGTTGCTTATAATTTTCTATTGCAAGTATTGTTTGTCATATTTACCATGCTTAGCTGTATATTGATATTGTTCCCTGTTAGTTTCACATTCTTACTTGCTCAGGTTATTATGTCTAGTAGGTATCTTGATTGTTCCTCGTCACTACTCCACTAAGGTTAGTTTTGATACTTACTAGGTACCGCCGTGGTATATTCATGCTGCCTTTCTATATATTTTTTGTGCAGATCCAGATAATTCGGAGCTTGTTGATCATTAGAAAGCTGATTGGATATTTATGTAGACTTCAAGGTATACCTGCCGTCGCGTTCGCAGTCCTCGGAGTCACCTTTTGAAGTCTATTTTGTATAGTTTTTTTTTTAATTCCGGAACATTTGTACTTAAAAGTTTTTCTAGTGAACTCAGTAGAGCTTATGACTTGTACTACCGGTTTTGGGATGTTATATATCGTGTTGGGATTGTTGGCTTTATATCGAAATATATGGTTCATGTTTAATAGTTATTTTGGTTAAATTCTGTCATTAATTCAGTAAGTGTTAGGCTTACCTAGTCTCTAACAAGAATCTATGTGTCTTGATATATTGGTTTCTGATAACGTGAATACACTAGAATTTAGTCATCCCAACATAAGAAGCGACAAGAAATGTATTCGTACCCTTACTGAAACATTGTTAAAAACGAATACTAGAACTATATTTAATCAAAGCGAACTAACACTATTCCATAATATAAATAATACTAATTGATACTAATGACTACTACTCATTCATAGAACTATGATTACATGATATTTATTCACTAGCTACTACAAATAGGCTAAATTAAAAATCAAACTACTCAATTATTTTTAACCATGGATTCATCACCGGTCAAGTGGTCTATTTTTCCATCAGGGTGCTCAAAGAAGTTTGCCACATCCAAGTGGGTGATGTCAATTCATTGATAGAGACAAATTAGTTTTAGGGTCTTTATTCTTTAGAGATGCTTGATAAAACTCAGTCAAATGTCTTGGTGTACGATAAATATTGGCCCAATGCCTTTTTCCACTGTATCAATAGCATCTAGTTTCTGAATCCTTTGCTTTTGGCTTCTCATCTTTTCCTTTTCATTTTTGGTGGTTATTTTTCTAACACCAGAAAATTTCTTCCTTGGCCACGTCCACTACCACGAGCAGGGACACGACCTTTTTCACGCTTAGCATGATAGGAATATACTTTATTCTCTTCGGGCAATGGTGTAGACCCAACGGGTCGATTATCGTGATTTCTTATGAGTAACTCATTGTTTCGTTCAGCCACGAGGAGAAGAGAAATCAAATCAGAGTACTTGTTGAAACCTTTCTCTCGATACTGCTGTTGCAGGATCATATGGATGCATGAAACGTTGTGAATATTTTTTCAAGCATATCATAGTTAGTGATATTATCTCCACAAAGCTTTAATTTAGAAGTAATTCTGGACGTCACCGAATTGTATTCAGAAACAGACTTAAAGTCTTGGAGCCTCGGATGAGCCCAATCATATCGTGCTTGTGGCAGTGTAACGAATTTTAGGTTGTCATATCTTTCCTTTAAGCTATTCCACAAAATAAGTGGATTTTTGATTGTGAGGTATTCTATTTTCAACCATTCATCAAGGTGATGACGCCAGAAAGTCAAGGCCTTAACATAGTCTTGTGTAAATGCTTTAGTTTTATCTTTACTGGCGTCTCCAAGACCCATTGCATCTAAATGGATTTAAGCATCCAACACCCATGACATATAGTTCTTGCCCGAAATTTCACGGGCAACGAACTTTCGTTTCATAATATCAGTCATAGTTAAAAGAGGAGAAAAATTATACCTTAGTCTTCTCAAATAGCTTCTTGAGACGGTAGAGTCTCGTGCTGATAACGTGAAACAAAACAATAAAAGAAAAGAAGAATATTGCAAAGAAAGGAAAGAGAAAATTCTATTGCTTTTAAAATAAATTACAATGGGACAAAAAATTTTATTTGTAGGGAAAAAGTGACTTAACCACAAAGTAACAAACTCTAAAAACTCTCTAAAAGATAGACATTCACCTTAAATACAATTCTATTTGTAAAAATATAAATTATATCAATAACAAATAATATAATATTTTAATTTTTGATGTTAAACAAGGCATAAATTATGTAGACATTAATACCGGAAACCAAACACCTATTAGCCAGTAATAGAGATCATATTAGTAATCGAGTGTTTTATACAAAAAACCAAACACTATATAAATACACATAATTTCATATTGAGATTAAGTGTATCTTATCCTACATCAAACAACCCCAATGTTGTTAATATTGAGTTTATGGCTTCTAAATTAGGATTTAAGTTATATACATGTTTTATTTTTACATACTATCGGTTAGTTCTAATATGTTCTAGTCATATTATTGTCATTTTTATTACGATACTAGTATTCATTAAGAGATAAGAATTATTTATAACCAATTGACCTAATAGAGAGTCTTTGGATTGACTTTTAAGCTGGTCAAATTAGTTTTTAAACTTTTTTTTAACTATTTGGCAAAGTTAAAAAGTACTTAAACTAAGTTAGAAACGGCTTAAAACAAGCCAAAAATAATAAGTTGGCCAACCCCAACTTATTGTTTTTTGGCTTAAAAGTTATTTCCGCTAAAAAGCCAGTTATTTAAACCAATCCAAATAGGCTCTATATAAATATTTTTTATAATATACATGCATATAACTCAAACACTTGTTAATCTTAAACACTTGTTAATTAAGGTGTAGTTGATTTTTGGATTAGTTACTCAATAGTCAATATATTAATCACACAGTTCACACTATAATGATTAATGAACATATTGGATTCAATTATCTAATTTCTTCTTCCTTAACTGTTCTGCAGTTGCTCTTTTTCCCAGCAGGCAGCAGCTATGTCACACTTGAGGCGTTAGATTCGAAAAATTGGGCATCAAATGGAGAGAGGCGACGGTGGTTCACTACGGACGCGTTCACAGGCGGCGCCTGACTGGACATTACACGAGTCACTAACTCTGGTGAACGAAATGAAATCAACCCAAATTGAATGCGGCAATACGCTAGCTTCTTTCCAAAAATGGCAATCAACGGTGCAGAATTGCAACTCACTGGGCGTGAATCGGAGCTTGAATCAGTGCAAAAAGCGGTGGGAATTTATCTTGGAGAATTACAATAAAGTGAAGCCATGGGAAACGGTGTATTGGACGGCGTCGTTTGATGGGGTTAGGAAGAGTGAATTGGGTTTACCGGAACAGTTTGATTTCGAGTTGTTTAACGCCGTTGGTAGGTATTTGAGTTTATTACATGGTGAAGATGGTGGTGGTGCTGAAACTGACCCGGAAACCCAACAGGCTCAAGGAAACAATGCTTTCTTGGAACTTGGTATGATACTATTTCTGTTCTAAAACATAGTCATGCTTTTTTACTTTAATTTTTTTGATTCAGTCTTATTTTATGATTTTATTGAGATTTGTATTCAAGCTACCGTGTGAATTATTTTTGTTTAGTAAACAATAAACCCTAATAAAGGCCTATTCCTAACTAGTAAGTATATGGATCACTCTTATCATCTTTTTCTTCCATTGTGATCTATCTTTAGCTAAGTCTCCATTGATTTCAAGGATTTGTTGATCTTTCAAGACAACTTCCTTGTAAGTCTACTTCATCCGTTTTAACACCTTCACTCACCATAGTTTCACACTAACGGACCAATGCATCTGTAAGGCCATCTCAAATGACCTTCTCTTATTTTTTTCTCAATGCGTGCTATTTGCACCATCTGGCGAATGCAAGAACCCTTTCTTATTTTGCACTATATCCAGGCACTAATGTGGTAGAACTAGCTTCTTTATGCACACTCATCCATGTTGTAGGAACCCTTTTATATTTTGCACCACATCTGGGCGTTGACGTGGCAACTAACTTCTTTACCGCACTCGTCCATAATGCGGGAACCCTTACTCATACTCCCTCACACCCAAGCGCCGATGTGGTGGAACCTGGAACCCCTTGCTCATTTTTCATCACATTCGGGTTCCAACATAATGGGTGCCTAAGTAGGCATGTCCCAACGATATCTGTATTATGAGGATTCATCATGAATTGGCAAGTTTTACGTTGGCTGGTAGCCTACCGGCACCCTTCTCCTTTATCCGGGCTTGGGACTAGCAATGTGAGCAAGCCCACACACAAGAACATAGTACTCTCACACCAAAGTTGATATAGAAAACCAAAATTTTGAAATTTTGCCAATCTAAGATGACAAAGCTGGATAAGGATTCTCCCACTAAAAATATAGATTAAGAAAATTAATGTATTTGACTACTTCTTTCTATCTCAGTAACCTTTTCGACGGCATTTGATGGTGTAAAATGTGGTCAAAGACTAATTTAAGTCCGAAATTTTAGTTATCTCAAACGTGATCATAATTCGATAACTGAGACTCAAAAAGAACAGAGAGCATAAAATGGAGAGGCAGAAACTTATAGAGAAGTGGCAGCTTAGGCATTATCTATCAATGAAGAGTGTAAATTGGTAGTGTGGGACAAGACATATTACTATTGGTTTAGAGAATTGAGATCGAGGATATACTTAATTTCTTAAATCATGTTTAGTTGGGAGATTCTATTAGAGAGCCGAATGGTTGATACAATGGTAGTGTGGGTCCCATCAAGATGTGATGTATCTGATGGGTGACTATGCTCTCAACAGATGATGCTTTACTATTTTCTCAAGTTCCAATGTGAGGTTTGACTGAAAGGCTGTCAAAGTCTGAGATTATACGGTTTAGTGGTGCTTTCTTATTACTGGACTGCTGGTCTTTTCAAACGGGATATTTGGATCTAAGAAGGAGAATGATGGTAGAAAGTCTGGTTAGAATATCTCTTCATTTATGACACGTGAACTTTTCTGACGGAATGGGGAAATTTGCAACAAATTTGTCGATGAGGATTTCTATGTCCCTATACGATTAATGTAGAGGCAAAATCACCATCTAAGAATGAGAGGAAGAGATACCAGAGTCGTGTCACGACCCAAAACTCTAACCGGTCGTGATGGCGCCTATTGATGTAACTAGGCAAGCCAATTTCCAACATACTTCGATATTTCATAAAAGATAAATCAAAAGCTCTTTCTTTTCATAAAAGAGTTTTCATAAAACAGGAGTTAAACTAAAAATACAATGCGGAAAGATAGCCCCAAACATCGGGGTGTCACCAAGTCATGAGCATCTAGACAACCAGTCTAAGAAAAATAGTGTCTACAAGAGTCTGTGTGTAAAAGTCAATACAGAAAAGAAAGATAGCAAAGAAGGAGAGGCAAGGACTGTGAACACCGGTAGCTACCTCGTAGATCTCCGACACTCGACCACGCACGAGCTCTACGTTCTTCGTGACCGGACACACCTGGATCTGCACATGAAGTGCAGGGTGTAGCGTGAGTACAACTAACTCAGTAAGTAACGGAAACAAATAAGGAACTGAGAAGCCGTGATGAGCTATACAAATACAGCTAATTTCAATAATTTCAGAAAAGATTAGTCATGCTTTCAAATTCGGCAGTTTAAGTCAAATCAGTTTTGTATGGTTTCAAGATCAAGTAAACCGGATATAAAATCTTCCAGAAATTTCACAACAATGACAGATATCAACTAAGTGCAACAACAAAAGAAAGCAAGTGCAACCTCTCGAGGCAACAGTCACTCAACTCATCTCAACAGCTCAATCACTCGGCTCTCAGCCCTCAGTACTCACACTCAATAGGTACTTGCACTCACTTGGGGTGTACAGACTCTGGAGGGGCTCCTACAGCCCAAGCGCTATAATCCGCACGGACAACTCACGTATTGCACGGACAACTCACGTACTATAATATCATATCAAGATCCGCACGGACAGCTCACGTGCTACAGTATCATATCAGGATTCGCACAGACAACTCACGTGCTACAGCATCAATACCTCACTCTCAGGCCCTCGGCCTCACTCAGTCATCGACCTCCCTAGTCTCTCGGACTCTCAGAAATCATATAAATCAGCCCAAATAGAGATAATAACATGTATCAACAAGTAACAAGAAGAGATGGAGGTATGATAAGCAATTAAAGTCATGACTTAGTACAAGACAACAAATAGTAGCTAAATCAACAAGTGCACGACCTCTGCGGGTCCCAACAGTGATATCATATGGCCTAAGCATGATTTCTAACATGAATTGCAGTCAAATTTCCATAAAACATAGGGAACAACATGTAGTTAACAGCAAGCTATTCGGCTTTACAATCTCACGGGACGGACCAAGTCACAATCCCTTCGGTGCACGCCCACACGCCCGCAGTGATTGATTGATCTATGTGCTATACGTATACACACACTAGTGGAAATGAGGAAGCTATTATCTCATATTGACGAAAGTCATTGATTAGAGGAATTGATAATTCTTAGAATAACTTTCTTATGGTACATTAAAAAATATAGTTCTTAGAATACTGCTATTATGTTTGGTAGACACATGTCGAGGTGAGGAACTCTTTTTCTCATGGTTAAGGTCATTGACCGAAGGGCACGGTGGTCTTAGAGAATCAACTTTTTGACTGTTTTAACCTTTGAGTTATAACTAAACTTAGTCCGCCCTTATGAGGATCACCGATTTCAAAGGTGTTTCATGGTCACGCCCTAGGACAAGTCTCCGATGAGGCGTGTTTGTTACACGCCTCAGAGTGACAGTGCCAGACATATGTCTCCTGAGATGTGTGCGCCAAGGGTTTGGACATATGCCTTGACATGCCTTGTCCCTTTTAGGCGAGGCGTGCGCCTTACTGAACCCTCTGCAAATACAAAATCCACATCCAAATTAGACCCTTTGGGAAGAGAAGGAGAAACATCATTAAAAGGAATTGCTGAAGTAAATTTTATTAGTGACTAAGTTCAGAAATCAAATAATAAAATACAACCTTATCTAGTTGCTCTTAAAAGAAATATAGGTGTGTATGACGTGACTGGTCGGAGTAAGTCTAACAACCACTACCAGTGTGTGACAGGAGTGGTGGCAACTGGAAATGAGACAGTAACTATGGCGACAAGACCCAATGGGTAGAGAGCAACCAAAGGTAGAGGCTGCGACTTTTGAGTCTGAAGAAGAGATTTTACAAAGAAGACAAGAAAAAAACATGTTTGTCTTAACTTATCCAACTCTAATGGACTACTGGCTTGTGGCTTGTAAAGAACTAATTGGCTCTTAAGAGATGAAGAAACTAGTGGGCGCTCGCCCTTGTACAAATTGGTCATATATTCTTTTTCATAAAAAGAAAAACTATTGCATGTCCAACTCTTGTACAAATAATCCGTCAAAAGGTTTCACCAAAGCTCTTACAAAAAAATAAAGAATGCCTTGATGCTATTGCAATTATTTTGCTTAAGAGGAAAAAGAAAATGTCATAGTTTTATCTTTTGATTAGATATTTATATTATATTTCCTATACAAATGTATTTCCTATACTTTCTACAATTTTATGAAATTTAAACATTCTTTTGTAATTTATGTTTGTCTTATTACAAAATACGATTAATTAAATATCCACAGGGGGCTATACCCCCACATGTCGGGAATTACGTCTCATACAGTGTAAAATGCTCCTCCCCCCACCCCACCCCCACCCACACCTTTTAAAACATTGATTAGGATAAAATGAGTATATCATTTCTGGGTAAGCTTTGTAAATATGCCACCAACCTCTCCATTAATAAACAATAGGTGCTGATTTCCTTGGAATAGAAATGTCGACATTCAGTCACTAGCCATGGTGGTGATCCTTTGTTCTCTCTTTCCTTTTAAGTGAGTCGATGAGCTTGTGGTTTTATCTTCTGGTTTCTGCTTCCTGATTTTGTGAAAAATGACTTACCGAATCTTGTCATATTGCAGAACTAAAAGACTGCAGTAGCATTCTATATTTAATTAGAATAACTGATCATTCTTGCACACCAAGCGACAAACTTTGTGGTGTAGTCATGTTTCTTTATGTAGTATAAGATATACCAAAGAGAAAGAAAAATTAAAACAGAAAAGCAAAATCTCGAAATGAAAATTGACTTTTCAGTATCAGCTAAATGTGTGACATTCTTGTATCATTAGGTCATAAAAGGCAGCGGCGAAGGACGAAACCACGAAAGTACAAAATGGAGGAAAGGTTGAATCCATGGAGACGCATCTTAAATGAAAACAGGAAGTATGAGCAATCCATGGTGGGGATAAAGCATGAAGCTAGCATAGAGACAAAGGTGGAAGCCCCAAGTTATGAGAAATCCAGCTTACAGATAAAGCGCGAGATATCCAGTCCAGAAGAAAAGGTCGAACCTCCAAACCTTAGTATGGTTAATATGGTAAAGGCGGAGCAGATTAATGTAGATAATCCAGAAGAAATGATGGCTGCAACTCTTAGGGAAAACGCAGAATTGATCACTGCAATAATTGAAGGAAATCCAATGGATGATAGAGATTGCAGGCTTGCTGATTTGAAGAATTCTGAGGCTGGTCGTGTTCATTTGATCAGAAGTCAAGGCAACCAACTTATTGATTGCCTCGGAAAAATATCAGACACTCTTAGCCAGCTTTGTGATACAATTCACAAAAAATAACTAACTATAATTGGTTAGCATTTCTGTTATGGCACACTGTAATGTGAGGACTGATCAGCTGCTTTTACTTCGATTGTCATCGGTGTAATGATGTGGTAACTCAGATTGCCGGGGATTGCAGAAAAAATCTATATTTATTGATTCTTTTTTGGTTAGTAAACTATCTGTTTACCAATAGCAACATGTACAGGTATCACAATTGAATCAACTAGCTATGGACAGGACAACAAACACCAGAACATCACTGCTACTGCAACCTCCCTACATCTAGATACGAGAGACCAAGGTATTTTTTTATTTTTTTTATTTTTTATTTTTATGTTGCATTAGATTATAGTGACTCTTCCACGCACTGAGTGGTTGTGCCCTCCTCACCAAACTAACACCAAAGTTCGCCTCCATCAATTTATGTGTTCGTTGATTGTCAAAACATAGCTGCATTTCCGTCCTCTTCGTGTCCTCTCAAATTTAGTGGTCTTCTAGTTGCAGTTAAAGGTAAGCATGACAATAAGGAACTAGAATATGATTCGTATGATATCGCTTTCAGCATTTCAATGCAATAAGGAACTAGAATATGATTTGTAGGATATTGCTTTCTGCATTTCAATAACTTGTCTTAGGGGATATGCCAGACATGCTTTTGGCATGATGGTGTTCAATGAGGAAAGTTTTGCAGGGGTGTGTGTGTACACACACACCACTATACTTTGTTTGTTGCAAAATATCAACATCCTCGGATTCCCAAAGCTTGTTGAGTTTTGCAGCTTCAGAATAACTGGTTTGATGGTAGTACCAATAGGGCATTTTCTTAAAAGAATTTACTGAATTTTGTATGCTTAAAGGTCCCAAGCAATTCAACTTCTCCACTAGTCCTTCATATAGAAAAATAATTTTGTTGTGGGTTCCGAAAAGGTTACCATAAAAAAAGAGAGTAAATTCATAGAAAGTGACATATTATGTTTTTTTCCCCACCAAAGTCACATAATATTTTTTTATAACAAATAATCACAAAGACTTTCGCCATTCTAATACAAAAGTCATAATGCCGAAAACACAACCTTCCAATGCACTGATTCTTTTTTATTTCATATTTTAACTCATTTTTATTTTTAATCTAATAAATACCTACTCAACTAAAAAGGATCCGACCCGACCCTACCAAAACCCATCTCTATGTCTCTACTACTCTAAATCAGTTTCTTTTCTTTGTTTGGTCATATTAACCATACTAAGATGCCTTCATCAAGAATAATATTTTGTGACTGTTTATTTAATATAACAATGGGATGCATGCATATTCATTTGGTTACATAGTTTTGTAAATTAACAAATTGCTTAATTACATAGTTTTGTAAATTAACAAATTGCTTGGCGTATCTCATTGCATAAAACAAGAGTGAACTATTTTCAGAATTTCTTAACCTACATAGATAAAAAATATGTGAGGAATATACTAGATGAAAATCACTTCGCCTAATATGCAATGAGATGTATCCATTTTACCAAATTATTTTCGGTGGATCTTTAGGATGGGAGCATTTGTGCAATATACCATACTAAATCCATCGGAGAAAGAAATAGTATTTGGGAAAGCCATACAACATAGTAACTACCTGTCACAACAACAACAACAACATATCCAGTATAATTTTACAAGTGGAGTCTGGGAAGGATAGTATATATGCAGATTTTACTCCTACCTTGTAAAGGTAGTGAAGCTATTTTCAATAGACACTTGGCTTAAGAAAACATAATCATAGTAGGTTCGAAAAGCAGTAAACAGTTGCCACAGCCAGAAATAATAAGATACTGAAGCCAAATAAACAAGTAGTAATAGAAAGCTAAGAACATGATATATATTAGACTACACTAGTACTACATGTATAGAAAAGCAATATATATACGAAAAGGAAGTAAGTCCGGCTACTTACTAACCTACTACCCTTTGTGCATGAAATACAACAAGGTCCAAATATTGCAGGATATGATAAGTGCGAGAACATGAGAATAATAGGTAAACAATAATAATCTACTTCCTCCGTTTCAAAAAGATTGTCTTAGTTTGACTTGACACAAACTTTAATAAAGAAGGGAAGACTTCTGAGATATGTGGTCTTAAATAAATAACAGCATTTGTGTGGCTGTAAAAATTTTAAAACTTGTGGTCTGAAACCTGTCATAGCATTTGTGTGGCTAAAAATACTTCATATTAAGGAAATATTGAAAGGTGAAAATATTTTTGAAACAGGATAACAAGGAAATAGTGTCATGTAATAAAATAAAAGTAATGCAGTAAAATGTAAATAAGAAGAGATAGAAAGAAGGGAGAAGTGTTTTCTTCTTCCACTTTGGTGTATTTTTCCATTGCAATTACATGGCCTTTTATAGGCATAAAAAGTAAAGATGATGGACATAAAGTAGGAAATTTAATCTTTAAGTTATTCACAACATGAGCATCCAATGTAGCATCCAATGTAGTATCCAAAGTAGTATCCAATGTACAAACTATTCATAA